TTTCGGAACAGATTCAAATTCAAGTAGGTACAAAGTTTATTGTTTTTTTACGGCACACATTTCTTTCTGACGACAAAAGAAGTGCAATAGCTATCATCAAAATTACTAACCAAGAAATATTTCGAAAATGTGCTTTGCTGGGGACTTGAGCATGCGGTACGAAACGGCTTAAATTTTCATCAACTAAACATTCCAAATGCTTATGTTTCATGCCTACGTCATACCAATAATACGGAGCAGGAAACAGAAGTAGACGCATAAAATCACTCAATCGGTGAAGTAAACAACCAGTTACATTCATTCATCATAAAATAAAGGAAGTGGAAATCGTCCTTCAGATGGCGACAACTTCTGAGTTAACTAACTATGTGCACAGCAGATCTAGAAGTTATCAGCAAATCTCTTATCGTCCTTATTAAAAGCTTGATATGTTGAAGGACATCGAGTTGAAGAGGATTTATAGTGCAGCTTACTTGCACAAAATGCGCTCCACTTCGGAACTATCTTTTATCAAGTTCATCATATCGACATAAGTCAAGGTTAAAATGGCACGTAAATCTGGTAGCCCTTCATAAAGATTATGCTTACAAATTTGCCTACTATCTCCTAATCATTACGCAAGCAAAGATTACCTAGATAATTTCAGCTCAAAATAGTTGCAACAAAACACTTCTAGAGATAAATTTTTATAAGAGTTATTCTAGCATTTGAAATTTAAGAGATAAAATGCACAAATCACTTGAAATATTATCATTGTAAAATTAAGCACAAAGCTTTCGATTTTTGTAACATTATTAGGTGACTTTTCAGTTATAATTAAAGAAATAACACAATTCATTCACACAATACGATTGGTATATTAGTAAGTAAGGTTGTTAGATGTTAAATTCTTTGATTTAGTGTTTTGTTGCAAATATGTTTCGCTCTTTAAGAACTTTAGTTAAAATGAATAAAGTAAGACCTTTGCTCCTAACAAACATTGAGACTTGTAGATCCTTCAGTTGCCAGTCATCTGCAGGATGAAGAAGAGATATTAAATATTTGATATTGCGAAATCGAGAAATTTGAAATTTATTTCAACTATCATAATTTAGACTTACAACTTAGTTTGCCACATTGTGTTGCCACATGATTAATTTTAACGCCTTTGGAAAGAATTCACCAACTTTTATCTCAATATTCTAAAATCGCTATGTGGTAGGGAATTAATGAAACTCAATGAGCTTGATTTTTGATGATGCTGTTTTTTAACAATTAATTAATGAATTACAATTAGTACAGAAAGAATGTTTAGGAATTGAAAGCTCTTAAATAATTCCTGCATTATATATATAAATTCTCTTATCGCAAAGAATACGCGATGATCCACAGCTCATTTCCATCCCGCTAAATTAAACCCTTGTGCGCGAGGTATCAAGCTCGTGTGAGAGAAAAAGTAAACTTCTCTTTGTCTATCAAGGCACATATGCGAGGAATAGTACACTTCTTTTTGTGTACAAAGCCCATGTGTGAGAGATATCTCCATCTATGCTAGTTAATTAGTAGAAGCAACAGATTCATCTATACCAAACCTTCACTTTTAACAATAAAGCTTTAACATTACATATTAATAATATTACAATATTCGTTGAATGATATCTATAAATTAATCCAGATTTTGACCTGAAGGCCTTTATGCTTTAGCAATGGGACACAATAACCAGAATGGAAGGAATTAAATAAATATATAAGTAATCGCATTCCAGAAGCAACTTACTGGTCTTCCTGAACTAAACCAAAACTTTAAACTCTGATATAAATAAATCACACGCGTTTTCAGACATGTGCATAATATTTAAAACAATAATTTCTCTCCTTTTCTTCCCCCATCCTTTACTCTGAGGAAGGAGAAAAAATCCAGCAGATATTTTTTTTTGACGTCCGATGTCCGTTTAATTACAGCGGCTAACAAAAGCAAATGGAGTAACATTAAACTGTTCTGTTTAAGATCTAAGCAGAATATCATTAGCTTCTTTGCCCTCTATATTCAGAGAACAGGAAGAACTTTATTCATGACCTAAACCCGGATTTTTGAAGCGCTTTCGTCGTTTTTCAGGATCTTGTTTAATATTTTTGCTACACTCAATCGAATGCAATGATATTTAAAAAAATCACAATATCTTTAAAATTTTTTTAAAATTTCTTTCATCTTTCTCGCCATCGAATCTTCAGTTAGTATCTGAAGTCAAACAAATGAATAATAAAAACCGGTGGGTACGCTTGTAAACATGCCACGATAATGAAATAATTTCTAGGATACTATGTTGTCTTTTTCGTCAGCGCAAAGATGCACCTTATTCTATCTAAATTTAGAATCTCTTGTAAGACCTAGACAAATCTACCAGCTCATAATAAGCAAAAGAAAATTATACGTGGTTTTCAACGAAATCATTTCTTACATTTAAAATATAGGGTATACTTAGCACAGAAGCATCTTAAAATCATTTAGTGCCTGGCACCACAAGAATTAATGATTTAAGTACAATTTTAATTGAATTTAAACCTTATGAAAAAAAAATTGGATTGGGTGTGCAATACTGCATTTCGCGTTACTACAATGTAATCCAGAATCCTGTGATTTTAATTAAAATTCTGTCATAACTAAGAATGGCTAGACCACAAAGAAAATTGAGATTTCTGATAATTTCATTTGATACTGATTTTTGTTCAATGATTTGGGATCATAATTATCTTACCTTGCTTCAAGGACTTATTGCGAATAGTAATGTGATGTTTATTGCAGTGAGCGCTAATAATATGGAAGCCTGAGAATCTTAAATGATGCTGGAAATGTTATTTTCAATAATAGGAGTTGTTCCAATAATAAGGGTTAGGGAAGCCGACTGCTATACCAAAGTGCCCGGGTTCGAATCCCGGAGAAAGCATGGTTGTAATTGTCCGTTCCTTCATAGGAGACAAAGGTGGCTCATCTATTAGGTGCCACCATAATAAAGTGACCACCATTTCTGGCCTTAGTAGTGGTCAAGCCCAATTCGGTTGAAGGCCTGCCATTGGGAGGGGGGATAACAGTGGTTGGAGGATTTCTTTGTTATAGATTACTTAAATCACTTTTTGGATTATAACAATTTTTTCTAGAAAAAAATTAATCCGTAAATAATAAAACAAATATTAATTGAAAAAAAATCGCACTTTTAAAAATAAAGGTTTCAAATGTCTTCGTTTCCCTTCCTATAGTTCCCACAACCCGAATATTTTCCATTTAAACTATTTTATATACTGACTGCATTAATAACTTAAGCTGTTTTGTTAATATATCTTTTCTAGTTTGTCACGACTTCGTCTCACATACAAAAACAAGAGGTACAATCTGATACCACTGATGAATTTCTGAGCTAATCTTCAAATAAAATGATTGGGTAAATAACAATAATAATTTCTGGGAAATTATCCCGAAAGGATTGGATTGGATTTTTACGAAAAACTGACTGGTATTCATCATACGCATACAGAAAGACTACAAAAACTTACACGAAGTTGGCCCCATTCACCGGGATTTGAATACTAGTCGAGCTACCAGAATTCTGCGGCCGGTGACTCCGCCGCAGACGACGTTATTCCGCGTGACTTCATTCTAAATAGTTGAGAAAACTACATTTAAGATTGTTTGAATAATATATCAGGCTTTCTAGATGCGTTTATCGAGAATATATTTTGATTTCATTATTTCTTTAAACAAGGTCTAATTAAATAGCTTAGAACTGCTCACTCTGTGTGAAAGCACAAGGTGACACAACCTATATTTTGTTCTTTCTGTTAAAATAACAGATGCGACATCCAGAAGGCATAAGGATTTATTTATAGCCATTGAAGTTTAATCAGCTGCGAACAATGGCTGCTCGAGATCAATATCGTTATACGAAAACTGCTCGGCCTGTTTGCGCATTAAGTATAGTTTGCTTATGATCATCAGTCTATGTTTTAAGGAACTTAGTAGTGTGAAGGCTTCAGGAACACATTCACTTGAAATTCATGACACCTTAGTTTAAAGATAAGTGCAAAAATCTGCTTTCTCTTGGCAAGATCGAATATGATTTGCGCAGAAAATATTGTTCGATTTTCATCCGAATGTTTTCACTGACTGAAATTTTTCTTTTGCATATTAACAAAAAACAGTTTGAAATTAATGCTCATTACTTCTTTTAGATAACATCTCTCACTCGAGTTAAAAAAATTTTGAAGTAAACCTTTATGAAATTTTCATGATTTTTAAATTTAGTTGTTAAAACTTATACTAAAGACATTCGAACCTTAAATTTCATATTATGGAAACCGTTCTTGACTTATTTCTATTAGAGAAGTTTTCATGTGCACACAAACTATTGATTGTTAAGAAATGTGCAATATCATTTAATACTAATTTGTCACATTGCATGGTCTTGTTTATTTTCTGCGATTATTAATAACTGTTGTCTCAGAAGGAGAGAATCCAGTAAAAAAAATTACATTGAAAAATAGGTTCTGAATTACTAACAATTATATTTTAAGCAGAACTTAAACCTGGCACCTGTTGCTGCGCTGACTTCACTGACAGGTAGAGCAAAGATTATTTTGAAACGGCCGTATAGTTAAAATAAAAAATAATTTTTTTTAAAACAACAACTTATGAGGCTGTAAAAATGAATTACAGCTTGAAATAAGTTCCAAAATGTTTACATATTTGTATTTAAATCATTATACATTCTTGTCATTAAATAATTAATTTATCAGAAACGCATAAAAGAGTAAACGAAATTTTACAACCAAGTTAAATTTAGAACTATGATCACAGTAAATGCTTTTAATTTTAATATAAAAAACACAATTTTTAAAAAAATATTAATTCAGGTTTGCTTAATAATTGCAAAAGATAAAATATTCTTCAAATATTTTTATTCATGAGCAGTAAAATATTTCTTACTGAGTTAAACTATATATAAATGCATGAAAAAAAGTTATCATACCTTTCTTCTGTTTCCGACAACCATGACGATTTATTAATATTTCACTTTTACAGCTTCATTAATTACGTGGCTACACTAAGCTGCTGCTGTGTTCTCTAGTGAACGAACGTCGAAAGGCCGACTCCTATAAGCTCCATTTGACGTCATCGAAAATTGAAGCTGATTGGATGAAATGAGCATTCTCGACTTGGATAAGATAAGGAAGTAGACTTTTTCTTTCCAAGGAAAACCAGAGTAGCTGCCGTTGTCTCAGTAACAAAAGTCAAGAAACCTTTAAGTGGCTTAATAATAAATGTAGTATCATGCTCGTGATATAAGCTGTTGGAAAAAAAAAAAAAAGTGTGAAAGTGATTTCCTGAGTTTTGTAGGAGGTATGACGAAAAGTTACGTAAAATAATGTGTTTCAATTGATGATATTTATTAGCTTGATTTAAACTATATTGTTAGGCCCAAGATCAATTCACAAATAACAACACAAACCTGTAAGCTTAAAGTTTTGAAGTGCAATTCAAAAACGGCATTAAAAGTTGCATGTCATATACAGGGCCCTCGGTGTTAGGAGGTGCCACTCGGTGAGATACCTGCAGGTTCTATCTTCTGTTGCCCTGTGCCTCCCTAAATTCTAAAAATTTTGCCTCCTGAAATCTCTGCTGCCCAGCTCCTCTTCATATTTCTAAAAGAACTGCCATCCCTAAATTTTGCTGCACGGTGCTTTTCTAAACACTAAAAATTTTGGCCGTTCCTAAATTCTTCTCTGTGGCTATATAAGTTGCACCGGTTCCGACACCGACCCTGATCATGGACTAACTTTTTAACAAATATCATTTTTTTAATCACATGCTAGTAATGTTTGCGTGCTGTAATAAAAAACCACAATTAAAATTAATTATTAAGAAAAACCGATGAGAGTATATAAACGATGGAATAAGAAGTTATTAAGCATTTTGTGATAAAACAGAAATTTTTAAACCCTTTATTAGTTTTTAGAATCTTCTCTAACAGAAACTTCGCAGCACTTGTTCTCTATAAAGTGGTTGTTAACCAGTGGTCCGCTCGATAAAACCGCTGAATATTGGTAATTCAACCCGTATTCTAATTCTGGCAAATGAGCTGGTTATGTGGGCCTTTTTGTGGTTTTCACTATGTGTAATAGGAATATGAGCCGATTTTCCTTAAAAAGCATTCCATAAAGGCATCCCATCCCATAAGCAAGCAACTCTAATGCACCTTTCCTAATTATGCAAAACGTCCAATCCATTATTTGAACAAATATCTACCTCTGCATGTTGATCATTCTCTATATCTCAGGTGCAAAATAAAATGTGAAAATCTAAAATCACCCATCTTGAATATCAAATGTAGTGATCTTGTTGAATGGATGGATTTGCTAAGCCCTTCAATTATTATGCGAGCTTTTTGGTCAACACTGTGGCTATACTAAGTTCCCGTGTTTTATATTTGAGTAGGTAGGAACGCAACTCCCAGTTTTATTTATTTTTTTATCATTATTTTTTAAGTACTGCGCTATCATATACGCTTAAGTATTTTTGCTTCATTATTCTGTATCATGAGATCGTATTCTTGTGAATGAACTGCAGTATTATAATTTATGTGTTGCAAATGTATCACGGTATTAAGAAATATGGTCCTACATTCCCCACTTTGAATTTTTGTAACAGTGTACTATGTAAGAATCGTAGCAGGGTTGAAATATTGCATATAGGTATGCATGAAAGGAATGTAGGAATGTAAGTACTTGTGAAGGCGTTTTTATAAGTAAATATGCATCATCGTCATGATTTTGTTGCATGTCTAACACTTTACCTGGTATACTCGTAACAATTTTTGATGGTCTCAAATGTAAGCTCTTATTAGCTGTGTTTTAGTTGAATGTACTTAATCTTGTGTCTTCATGCAAGTTTGCTATAATAGGTAAGTTAAAGAAAGGGTAGGCTTGAATGTTTAGCAGGCAGTGCAAATGGAATTGTTGCATATGCACTATAAAGACAATTAAAGCGAAAAAGACAGTGTAAGGTAGAAAATTCAACTGAATTAAAGAATCTAATGGCATTACTGCAATAATGTATGTACACTACGCAATAAAAAGGGGGGGAACCAAACTACCAAGTTTTGTAAAAATCGCACGAGTAGTTTTTAAAACATTAGCTTTCAAAATTTGAGCTCCTTGATGTTAATTGAATTTGATATATATTTATTAATATCTCTTTTTCTTATTAAACTTACTTGATTCCTTCTTTCACAGTTCGAAATTTAGGCTTAATCCAAATATAGTTCGCACATTTTTTATGATTTATTTTTTAAATTTGTATTTTTAAATATTTTTATAAATTTTTCAAAAAACTTTTTGTATTATATCCTATAAAATTTTTAACATCCTCTTAAAGTGTATGTATTTCTAGGCACACCTGCAAAAAAATTAGAGTTTTTTTATTTAAATTTTCTAATATATGCATGAAATTACATAGTGGCGCGTTTTGAAATGTGGCATCTTGTTTTTTTTTTTTTTTTTTTTTTTTTTTTTTTTTTTTTGTGCGATAAGCATTTTAGTTAAAATTATTTGAAAATATGAACGATGACTTTTTCCCGCTCGTCTGCAATGCAAAAAAGGAAAGGAAAATAGTTTGCTTTTAATTATTACTTGGCTCAAACTGAAAAATATGCACCAAGATAAATTTTTGAATTTCTCCGTAAATTTCGCACCAAGTTTACAAATTTTAATATTTAGACATAATTTGAGTCGTAGAATTGAAATATGGAATAAAATTGGCATGTCATTTCAGAAAAAGTCCGATTTTGTGTCAAAATACATATGTTAGAATAATGCTTTATATATATATATATATATCGAATATATATATCCTAAGTCGCGCTTTCGAGACATGAAAAACGCAAGTTGAACTTCGTCAATCAGCCTAGTAGAACGGGAGATATAGAACTGTCCCGTCTTTTTTTTTTTTTTTGCGCAGTGCAAGTTTGTATTATTGATTTACTTTTATTACATTACTGTGAGTACATTATGGTATCCTTGTCGTATGTACGTTTCATGGTCTATATGTATTTTACATGAAAATACCTACAATCGCATAGTTGTATTATTAACCGTATCACTGATTTACAGTACACTATGAATTTATCAACATTGTACTCTGCTATAAACTGATAACTATTAGTTGGTCCCAAATGTGTGTACTTGTATATCTAAGTTGATTGTTCCTGAAGTATTTTCCATAACGCGTATATTTGGAAATCTGCTCCACTGCGTTCACTTATGAATTGGCACCTTTTGTCAATGTTGACATATTGTTACGAAATGTCCAGGCGCGGTAAGATAGCTTCTCCGTAAAGCACGTTTAGGGTTGGCAGAAAATGGGGAAGGCAAGGCTGCCACATTTGGAGAGAAATTGCCCATTTGGCGACAAATCGGCGATACGCCATAGACGGATGGAGAACTTTCTGGAAGGAATTCTTGCTGGTGTAGCCCAGAATGTTCTCGAACACAAGGCTATATAAATCGTGCTGGGACGAGGAGAGTCAGTCAGTGTCGAGTCCACCGAGTTGTAGTCTAGTGCCTAGTTGGTCGTCGACTGCATCGAGAGAATCTCTTAGTGCATTGTCGAGTTTCATCTAAGAGTGGCTGAGCTCCGAGAACGACCGAACTGAGGCGGGAGCTGTACTCTCGCGTATCGTCAATTGCATCGCGAGTTGTAGCGTGGAGAGTGTCAAGAGTACGTAGAGTTCCTAGAACGACCTAGCAGAATCGGGGGGTGTACTCTGCTGCTTCGCCGTGAAGCTGTCTCCACCGTTATAGCCTCATAACCTAAAGACTGTGTCGCTGATTGTTCCAGCGTGTTTACAGTAGATCTTCGACGACTGTAAACGTGTTATTGGAGCTGTCTTGAATAATACTGGCTAATAAATTGTGTTTCGATACTTCATCGAGTGTCGTCGTTATTCGGGTCGTTATTCGTTGTCTTTACTTCAGGTTTAATAAATATCATTTTGGTAAAGGCTTGCATGATTTTCCGTTATAAAAGATGCAATGCATATTTTATTCCATTTGCAACTTTGCTGCATATTTTTCAGATTTCTTTCTTTCTCCCTTTGTTTATTTATTTAGTTCTTCCTAGGAATGGAATATGGTTGAACTACTTCAACCAGTAGATCAAAGTATTTTCTTCTCTTGCCCAAAGGGCGTTAGCCCAGAAGGGCCATTAATTTCGTTTTAGCATTTTGCGTCAATTTACTTTTTGCGTTGATTCACTTTTCAAACTGTTGCCACAAAGAAATTTATAATGAAGAATCTACATAAATGTGTGTGTGTTTCTCGCACTGAAATAAAATAACGGTACCTAGAGCCATCAAATATTGAATAGCGTAATCCTCTAGTGAATGGGCATCTGGAAATCCTACTTTGGAATTTTTTTTATTATCGATTTCATATTTCGTAACACTTTAACACGAATTTTTGATTAATAAATTCAATGATTTCAAAGCAAAGAATTGCAACACTGAACGGAAAAAAAAAAAGAAAAAGGGGAAAAAAAAAACACATTTTTATCTCCAGCGTGCGAGACTGTGTATCGGAAATTTTAAAGATATGCTCATTTAAAAATTATTTTGCGATATTGCTGTTGAACTGAATTTTATGGTTTAAGTGCGAAGAACATGATATTTAATAAATAAAGGTAACGCACAAAACGTTAAAAAAACGCTCCTTTGGGCGTAATTTAATATAGGAAAAAGGTTTCAGATTTTTTTTTTTAAATACTTTCATTTACTTTGTAACGGCTACTAATTTCTTTTTCCTGAAACAATTTTCAGAAATTATTATGACAGCACTGTTTATTTCCTAAATAAACATACGTTCTAAAACTTTGTTTATATGTAATAACTAAACCCTTATGCGATGAAATTTTTATATGAGCATTAATTATAGTTACGTTACATTAATGTTAGCGAAGCTACGTTAATATTTGAAAAATTAACACTTGCATACATGACATTTTTATATGCATGTACTAATATTTCAAAACTGTAGTCTCTCTAATGAATTTTTGAATTAATTTATAATTAAGAAAATTCTAATCGTATCTTTCTATCTTGGAGTAAGCTCATGGAAAATTG